CTTGGATAAGAGACACGTGTCCCATAACATACCATCACTTCCTCTGCTGTCATTGCTATTTTCGTGACAAAAATACTCTATGTTACTGTTAAAAGTATGAGAAGGAGAAGAGTAAAAACTCCCTTCAATATTAGTATTGTCAGTCACATTCTTGTTAGCTTCTTGACCATGCCAGCTTAAGCCTGATGGATGATCACATTTTTTTGGAAAGAACATTCTGCTCAAAGATTGACATTCTTCATCAAAGAAAGCTCCCACAGACTCCATTTTGTGTTTTTTTTTAAAATTGAAAGGCTAGTAAGGAGGGGAGAATGAGAAGTGGTTTACTAAATATAACCACTAAATATTCTCAAAAGTGATACATTGATGCTTCTCTTCCAATGATCGAATACATTGACAAACTTTATAATTCCAGAAGTATAAGCTTGGATTGGAGATCTCATACTTTTACTTGGATTGGGAATAAGCAACAACAAATGACATTAATGCTTAAGAACCCCTGTGAGAGTAGGACCATGCACCTCTTGTGTACGAGGTCATTGGATTATACTTTTTATCTGTATTTGCAAAATACTGGCATGATATGAGTTTGTCACTACTAATTAGTTTTTTATGTTATATGTAGTTCACGTAAAGGCTCCTTTTTCTGTTTGATCTTATTTAGTCCTAGTAATACTTAGATAGAAAAAAACAAGATCTTATGTTCTCATCCCATATCTACGTTCACTCATACAAGTCATCTTGATTTTGTAAAAGCCTAAAGAGTACAAAGGTTGATAACTAAAGGAAGGTTGGCACTACCGGTTCATCATCCATTTCGACTTTTATTTTTTAGTTTCGTCCTTGCTGCGGCAGGTATAGCTATATATCTTTTTTTTTTTAAATATATGTTTATGAAAAATATATCTTTATATAAGTCATAGGACTTGCCTCATTCTTCATGTTTACCTTGTTTGCCAATAATTAAATGGTTAGGTTTCATTTGTGTAAATTTGAAATTTTGGTTTCACTTTGATGCTAGGAGTTAACTATTAATTTATATTTACATGTTATTCATTTCACTTTAAGTTTGAATGAAATAATGAAATAATACTATGTAATCATTACAGTATTTAGCATAGTACTAAGGGCACTTTCTCCGAATATTATTGTTGTTGCAAATTTAACTAGTCAATTGGACATGTGAGACTTCTCTTGTTGAATTTTGATTCCGCTATAAACTAGTAAATATACTTTTGAATGTAATCAATCTAATTTTTGTTGTGAAATTTTATATTTATAGAGTCATTCATAGTTAAAATGTTGAAGGTATTACAATTATTCAAAGTAGGAACCTTTAGAAGAATATCTCAATAGTTTTTTCTCTTGATGTAGATGGAATTTGAACATCGTGGATGGATGTATAATAGGACTCATCCTAATCGTGCGAGATTGAGGGAGGAATTTATAGAAGGAGTTGCGGGGTTTATTGCTAAGGCGAAATCGCTAAATGATTTTCTTATTGAAAGGACAATTAGGTGCCCTTGTATTAAATGCAAGTGTGTCAAGTTATTGAGACCAGATGCAGTTGAGCTTCATCTTTACAAGAATGGATTTATAGAAAATTATTATGTGTGGACTGTTCATGGAGAGAATCATGATTTTCATAATTCTTTTGGTGGTGAGGGTAGTCCCAGAATAGAGAATAATTTTGAAAATTCTCGATGCAATGAAATGATGAGAGATGCGTTTGAGATGTTCCCAGGGGCTCACTCCGAACCAAATGATGAGGCTAAGCGCTTTTATGAACAACTAGAGAAAGCTAGTCATCCATTGTATGAAGGCTCAATGCATTCCAAGTTGTCTGTTGCAGTTAGACTACTAACTATCAAATCCGATAGTTCTATTTCTCAAGCGGGCATGGATTCTATCATTGGGCTTATGAATGAACTAAATCCGAATAAAATTGATTTACCTAAAGATTTCTATACTCCAAAGAAATTGGTGTCCAAGTTAGGACTTTCATCAGAAAGGATTGACTGTTGTGAGAAAGGATGCATGTTATTTTACAAGGATGATGCAGCGTTAGAAAATTGTAAGTTTTGTAACCAACCTCGTTATAAGGAGGTTACAAATGCTAATAAGAAGAAGGTTCCCGTAAAGGCTATGCATTACTTACCCCTTATACCAAGATTAAAGAGGTTGTATGCATCAATGAGCTCCGCTCCTCATATGAGATGGCACTATGAACATAGAATGCCAACCGGTGTTCTATGTCACCCGTCAGATGGAGAAGCATGGAAGCATTTTGATAGGGTGTTCCCGAACTTTGCAAGTAAACCAAGAAATATTAGGTTAGGATTATGTGCTGATGGATTCACTCCATTTGCAGCCTCTGCCGCACCATATTCATGTTGGCCACTGTTTGTTATGCCGTATAATCTTCCTCCAGAGTTTTGTATGACAAGTCCATATTTGTTTCTAACTTGCATTATTCCAGGTCCACGCAATCCAAAAAGTTTGATTGATGTATACATGCAGCCGTTGATTGATGAGTTAAAGTTATTGTGAACTCATTGAAGCCAAAAGGAAATATTCATTTTTGGTGAGGCAAACCTCTCACAATCACATTCTTGCCCAATTATAGTTGGTCGAAGAATTTGGTAACATTTAAGAAAAATGTGATTCTGAGAGGTCGGGATTTTGGTAACATATTAGGATTACTAATTGAAATGGAGAAAGAGAGTAAAGGGCATAGTATCAGATTAAGAGACCATATATAGTAGATAAAAGTTTCAAATTCAGGGGTTATATCCCTTTAATTCTTTTATAATATAATCACATTTATGCTCTAACATTTCATGAAAATTCTTTTAATTGTGTCATTTTCAGTTGCTAGTGTAGGGTTCCAAACCCTATCTACTAATAGAAACAAAAGAGAAAGTCAAACCTTACTCTTAACAAGTTGCTTGCTTTTTGTCAGCCATTCTGCACTGGTGAATATGAAAAACAAATTGAGATAGATTATTAATGATGGAAGTAGGTTTAGGACATAGTATGTTTGACCGAGGTGGATCCAGGATTCGACTGTCACGGGCACCATAAAATTCAATATGAAGTTATCACTGCTCATTCGGAAATTTAATGGCTGCCACGCCCTCCTGAACATATGGGCAGGCAGCAAATACACGAACCAAAAGAATCTGATATTCTGCACCGGCTCTAATCAAGAAATTTAATGATAAGAGTATATGAAAATTCTGATTTAATCAACATGGTAAGGAAGCACATGTTGATTTTGTTTGTACTAAAATCCTGACAGCTTCTTGGTCAAAATGAACCTCTTTTACTGCACTCCTTGATTCAGCCCGTTTCATAGTTCTTGGTGCTTTTCTATAGATAAAGAAAGTGAATGCAATTTTGCTATTGAATAATAGAGTAGCATTGGTTCAGTGGTGCCTGTTTCCAGCAGCTAGAATATGTAGTGCCACATTCTGAGACATTCTTCATATTCTACTCTTTCCTGTGCAACTTGCCTATCTTTTACTAATAATAAAAGAGTGGAACAGTCTTGCCTTGGTGTTAAGAATTATTTGTACTTCCTTCGAGAATTTTGGAATTTTAGTTCTAGTTGAAAATTTGAGCAATATATGTGTAAGTTTTACAACTTCAAATTGTCAAATAAATTAAGAAATGCTCCTGAAGGTAAAAGGTATTTATTGATGTGGTATTTATTTGGACATCACTAGAAAAATTATATTTTTTATTGCAGGAAAAGTTTAAAGGGGGACCAGTGTCTGATGCTGAGGTTTTTGCGGAGACACATAAGAAAAAGAAGAAAGACGGTTCAAGAGAAGGATGGGTTGAGACACGTGCATCGAAACAATATGTAGGATCATAACTTCAAGACTATTTTCACTTTAATATTGATTTATTTATATAATCCTTATTACCTTTATTTCAGGATGGATATCATAGAAGCTTGGATGAATGGTGTCAGACGCAGCCTACTTCTGATGATGGTACCCCAATCCAACCGTCACCCGATGTTATGACTTCAATATGGATGGATGTAGCAGGTGGTGTATCCAAGGAAGAGTTTACGGGCTTGGAGTACAACGACCTTCCTCTTTTCGTCCATCGCCATTAGTTTCAGATGCTCCCACTGCTCAAAATCAGGAAGAAATGGGAGCAATGCAAAAGAATATTGAGTTGTTGTCGAGACGATGTGAGACGGCCGAAGCTCACATTGCTAGAATGGATAAATACATGAAAAAACACATGCCCCACTTTTATGATGATGAAGAGACTGATTCTGATGTGTAGTAGTGATTTAAGGTTGATTACTGTTCTTGGATGTTTAAATTTTATATTTAGACTTTATGGTAGATTTGAATGATGTGGTATATATATGTTTAGACTTTATTATATTAGTGTCGATATGTATTAGCTACTCAGACTTGATATTGAATATTTAGACGTTAAGCAATGTTTTGGTTTGATATTATGGGATTTGAATGTTTGTTTGTTGATGTTGGAATTGGTTGGTTTGATTATTAGATTGTTTAGTTGGAATTGGTTGTGTAGTTGAAATTGATTTGTTGAGTTGGTTGTTTAGTTGGAATTGACTTGTTGAATTGGTTGTTTATAATATTTTGCATTTGACAGGTGATGTGCTAATAAAATGGCAGCTTTCTGTCAAATTTCAACCCAGTTTTCCGACTACTATAGTCGAAAGTGTGCCCAGCATAATGATTTTTCGACTACAATAATCGGAAAATGAGGTCAGAATAATACAGATTCTGACTACTGTAGTCAGAAAATATAATAAAATAACTAATAAATAATTATTATTTGTATAATATCCCCACTATAGTAGTCGGAAATAATTTTTAAAATAAATAATAGTTTTTTCTTATTTTCCGACTACTTCAATCGAAAAATAGCTGCATTTTCTAATTTTTGGTGGAAAATATTTTTTGACTACTGTAGTCGGAAATTTCCTTTTTCGGAAAATATTTTCTGAGATTAGTCGGAAAATATTTTCTGAGATTAGTCGGAAAATATTTTCCGACTAATCTTTTTCCGACTACTCTAAATCAATCGGAAAGTAGTCGGAATAGGTACTTTTCCGACTATTTTGGTAGTCGGAAAATAGCGAATTTCTTATAGTACCAACAATGTTGACCGTAGTTAACTCCAACAACTTTTAAATTCAAAAATCAAGTTTTCTTTGAAAAATCACATTTAAACTTTCTAAAAATCAAAACGGACTACACACAAGTTATAAACCATCAAATAACGCTATGCAAGGTCTCAAATCACGAAATGTGAAGTTAGAACTTAAAACAACTTATCGGGTCGTTACATGTATAAAAAATCCCTTTTCTATAAACCTACGTATTTTCCAAATTTCCCCTACAATTCTCATTTTATCTTTTACTTTCATGTACTTTTGTTTATATTTATCCTTCTAAAGTACTAAAAGGTAGTTAAAAAAGGTTCAATTTTGCTTTTAAACTTTGCAAAATTAGTCTTTTTTGTCTTCTGTTAAAAGTTTACTTCAAAAAAGATTTCGTTCTTACCCATACGTATTAATACCCTTCGTTTCTAACGACGCTCCAACCTACATATTTTGTTTATGCTGATCATTTTAAGTTGTCAAGTCGGGGAGACACTTGAAAGAAAAAAATTCAAATTTCCCCTCAACTTTATGAAAAAGGGAGAGGGAAGACAAAAGTCTGTATGATGGATAATTTTTTTTTTTTTTTGAAAATTCTTTTTAGAAAAAATGACTTACTCTTTACAAAATATTCTTCGATGGTTGATCGCAGAGAAAAATATCTTCTAAATAAAATATCTACTAAAAATTGATAATAATATTATTAAATCAAATAATGATTTGATGACAGTTTCTCAGCATTAAAGAATGATAATATGTGCTGGCCAAATATTGATGTGAAGTTAAGGGGGGTCGTTTGGTAGGATGTATTAGGGAAAATAATATATGTATTATTTTTGGTATTATTAATCCCTTATTTCGTAATATATTTCAATTTATGTGTAACTAATGTAATTACTAGTTACACACTATAGTCAATACTATTTTTGTACATAGCAAACTATGACATTAACAATATCGTAATTTTTAATATATGGATAAGCAAATATAAATATAGAACTACCGTTTCTAAATCTTTTCCAACGAGATAGATGGAGGGTATTTTTCGAACAAATAATTTTTTTTAAAAGTGTTGCAATAGATATTATTTTTAATACACAAAATTAAATAGTTGATAAGAAATAATTCCAGTATAATTAATCCCAACATTACCAATACACTCTATTCAGCAGGGGCCTATGCATAATTTTTTGTGTGGTGTCAAAATTTATAGAATGAGAATATTTGCCAAAAAATAAGTGCTAGTTTAGCTTCAAACCTCTAATCTCTTAGAGCAAAATCAAGCATATACAAACACGCTAAGAGACAATATGTGTCAAGTGATATTATTTTTCTACTTATTAGTTTCCTCACTGTATTTATTTTTTGCAAAAAAAGTTTGACGAAGTAGTATCACGTGACATCGTTTCCTTGAATATACGTCCGCCACTAATATTCAGTATTCTTTTTGTACACTCTATCAAACGACCCCTAATAGTTAAAATTGTTGTAAATGACATAACTTCCCAAAAAAGTAAATGAAGTTATTTTCCCCAATCCCCAGTTTGCCTGTCACGGTCCAGATTTCCCACCTCGGGAGTCGTGATAGCGCCTACTAATGAGAACTAGGCAAGCCAAATCTTAACTACTTGCTGCACTTTCATTTTTGCTTCTTTTAACAAACACAAGTCGATAATATGATAAAAGTGGAATTTTAAATAAATAAGCGGAAGTCAACAATTATATATCTTAAGGCTACGTCTATTACAACTTTTAAAAACCTCAAATACCCCAAAACCTGGTGTCACAATGTCACAGACTATCTAAGAGTTACTACATACAAGGTCTGAAGAAATACAATACACTGTTTATGAACAAAGGAAATGAAACAGGAAATAGAGATAGAGGGAGACGTCAGGGCCTGCGGACGCCTGCAGGTCTATCTTGGGTCTCCGAGTGGACTGAAGGAAGCCCTCCAACTATTGTCCGAAAGCTGCTCCTGGATCTGCACACAGTGCAGAGTGTAGTATCAGCACAACCAACCCCATGTACTGGTAAGTGTCTAGCCTAACCTCGGGGAAGTAGTGACGGGGCTAGGACCAGACTACCAAATAAACCTGTGTAGTTCATATATATATATATATATACAGCGAAAAAGAAATACAGAAATAACCAGTCAATGTGGGAGGGGGAAACATGCTGTGGGGGCGATAATAGTTCCAAATAGATATGCATCAAGTAAGGAAAGAAACGACATAACTAGAATATCAACAAAGAAGCAGAAATCAACAATTGCACGGCATCACCCTTCGTGCTTTTACTCCCAGCCTCACCAAAGCAGTTATATACTAAAAACGTGCACGGCATCACACTTCGTGCTTTTACTCTCATCCTCACCAAGACAATCATATAATCAAAATGTACATGGCATCACCCTTCGTGCTTTTACTCTCTTTCCTCAACATATGATCAATAGAATCGGCAAGGAATGGTACGCCGTGCGGCACGACATCACTCTTCATGCTTTTACACTCTTTCCTCACAATATCAAACAATACACGACATCACCCTTCGTGCTTTAACACTCTTCCTCACCCAAACAAAAATCACAAACAAAGGGGCAAAGGAATAAACAAAATAATAATAGAAATCCCGGCACAGGAACACAATTAAATAATTAAATCCCGGCATGGGAACAACATCAATAATCTCAACATCCCGACAAGAGAGATAATTAACAAAGCAACAATATCCCGGCAAGGGAACAATTTAATAACTCTTTCTAAATTTTACTCTACAATTTACTTCACAACTCGAGCGAATGCTCTAGAGGTTCGATTATCACTTATACTTTCACAACTCATTTCACAACTCGAGCCAATGCTCTAGAGGTTCGATTATCACTTATGCTTTCACAACTCATTTCACAACTCGTGCCATTGCTCTAAAAGTACAATTGTCACGTATACTTTCACAATTTCACTATACAACTTGAGCCAACGCTCCTCAATATTCATAGGTCACAATTCTTTCCACAAGCTTTATATAACAATTAGGAATCTTCACCAAGGCATGAATAATACAACGAAATCATGAAAACCACAATATAAGACCCACGGTCATGCTTGATACCAACGTATAGATACTCGTCACCATGCCTATACGTTGTACTCGACAAGAAGCAAATAGCAAATAGGACACAACTCCTAATCCCTCAAGCTAAGGTTAGACCGAACACTTACTTCGATGCCACGAACACAATTCAAGTTTCAATTATAGCTTTACCCCTCGATTCCTCCGCCAATTCGCTCATATCTAGCCACAAGTTACTTAATTACATCAATAAACGCTAAATGAATCAATTTGAATGCATGAAAATGGGTTTTCCAAAGTTTTACCCAAAAAGTCAAAAATCGCCCTCGGGCCCATATGGTCAAAACCCGAGGTTCTAACCAAAATCCGATTACACATTCCTCCACGAGCTCAAATATGTAATTTGTTTTGAAATCGGATCTCAAATCGAGGTCCAAATCCCCAATTTTTGAAAAACCTAGGTTCTACCCAAAACACCCAATTTCCCCCATGAAAATAATTGATTTGAAACTGAAATCATGTTAAAAGATGTTAATGATTGAATAAAACTAGTTAAAAATGACTTACAATTGATTTGTAGAAGAAAGGTTGTTTGAAAAATCGTCTCTTATGTTTTAGGGTTTTGAAAAATGAAAAATAACTGAAAATCCCGTCTATTTATACCTCTCTCAGACCCCCTGTGCAGACCGCACAAAATGGACTGCAGCCGCACAAGCCTTTCTGAGATACTGCGGTCCACTGCCCTGTGCGGACCACACGAAATGGACCGCGGCCGCACAGGTCTCCACCGCGCACCGCACGAAATCGAGCGCGGCCGCGTAGGCTTGGCCTTGCTCACCGCTGTAAGCACGTGATTTTTGACCCTCCCCGAGAATTTTCACATTTTTAGCGTGAATATGTGAAATTGGGTCTAGTATAGCTATTTTAACCATTTTTACTTTATTCCGTTGCAAAAAGAAAAATTTCAAAAATATATATATATAAATTTTAGTTTATGTATCTCTCATAAACTTGAAAAATACAAAAATTGTACTTTATTTTGGTACTTTATATAAATTCGAAAATTACAAAAAATATAGTTCTATTAATGTTTGCAGTCATTATAATTTTGAAAAATACAAAAATATTACTTCATATTTTTGTCTTTATTAAAGAACGAAAATTACAAAAAATAGTTTTATTAATATTCTATAGTCATTTTAACTTTGAAAAATACAAAAAAAAACATTACTTCATATTTTATCTTAATA